TTGAGTTAGTAGAAGCGTGAAGCTACCGCTCGATCGAGTGCGGTAGTGTCGGCGTAATTTGTTATAGGCCGTCATTAGAAGTTTTTAAGCATCAAACCAAAGTTAAATAAAAGCACACATGATGTGAAAAAAAAGTATTCGGGCTCACCGATACACTCGATTTCGGGATTGCCTTGGAAACCTGGTGGACATAGACAGCGATGCGCGCCGGGTATGTTTTCACAGAGGGCGTTGCGACCGCACTGGGCGCGCGCGCATTCGTTGAGGTCGTGGCAGCCAACGCGAGGATCACCTTCGAAGCCTTGAGGGCAGCTACACTCGTAGCCACCGGCTATGTTACGACAGACGGCGCCCGCACCACATGCATCCTTGTTTTCGCATTCATCAATGTCTACGCACTACAATTGAAAAAATAAATACAGTTACAGCGGTTTAATATCTTTAGTTATTATTTAAGTGAAACCATTGAAGAAATAACTTACGCCGTCGAATGGATTTCCGGTATAACCAGCTTGACAGGCGCATGTGTAGTTGCCGGGGTAGTTTTGACAAACGGTGTTGCTTCCACAGGCACCGGGTCGTCGGCACTCGTCAATGTCTGAATTAAAAATAGAACATTTTTATCAAATTTGATAAAATACCTGTAGTGTATACGTATTAATAAAACGGCGATTGTTTTGGGACTGATTTAATATAAATCATTTGACGGTAGGTAATAAAAACCTACCTACATTAAACACCAGATATTATAATCTATATCTATGATAATAAAGCGTAAAAACACACTTGTTGCCTAAGATGTCAGCAATTATAGCATATTTTTGAATAATTCTTTATTTAATAAAAAGCCCTACACTTACGTCACGCTTTAGGCTCCATATTTTTACGCTATTAAACTTAGGGGGTAAATATTTTAGATAAAAATCCTAATGTGGGAAAGATACCATAAGTTGCTGCCAACATCAAGGAAGCAAAATTGCCAAGGTTTGTCATGTAATGACATTTTGACATTTGCTATTAATAATTTGACAAATGTAAACAATAAAATGAAATTTTCATAATTTCATGCGTATGAAGCCGCATGGAAACAGTTAGTACCTAAATAAAAGTAAACAGTTATATGATATATTCTCTATTATGTATGGGTGAATTATCGTAGCATTAAGTAAATTACCTCGACATTCTTCTTCCCCGTCCCCTTCAAAGCCTCGGTTACACTTGCAGATAAAGTGAGCTGGTAGGTTACAGCATTCCGCATTCTTGACACATCTCGACGATATCGCCGGATCTTCACATTCGTTTATATCTTAAAAAATTGAGATACATAAATCAACCGAACTGATACCAAATATGAATTACATGAAAATTATGAATATATCAAACGATAGGTACCTCTACATGTGAAGCCGTCGCCTTCGTATCCCGGGAAGCAAGAACATTGAAAGCTACCCACAGTGTTGGTACAGTGCGCAAAAACGTCACATGGCCTGTCCTTGCATTCATTTACATCTGCAAAAAATATATTTAAATAATCTGTATTCAATTATCAAGTAAATGAATAAATACATAAGCGAGATAAATGAATATAGAAATATGTAATAAAGAAAGGGAACATACGAAAAAATCTAAATCAACGGCCATAGGTAGATGTGATAGCTAAACTAAGTAAGGTTTAGATTTTTCCTTGGATTTTGCTTATAAGGGTCACTGGTTTGAGTTAACAAGCAAAGCTCACCTGGTTCCTGACAGTTGCAGCCGCCGAAACCATCATTGCAATGGCACACACCGTTTAGACACGCGCCGTTTATGCAACGTGCGCCATCTTCTTTGGTACAGTCATCTAAAACATTTTAATGTATTTAATGTACATAAGCAATAATACAGTACATATTGTCTATGTGTATTTAAACTTTACTTAAGAGTACCCTAAATATAGATTCACAAACACCGAGTGTAAATACACAATTTTAATAATAAAAAAAGTATTATTAGTTATTAAATAATGACATTCCCAGCGGTAACATAAAAAGTTCTTCATGTAGATTTACCTTAGTAAATCTAAGTTATGAGGAGTTTTAGGGGCAGTTATAGTTTGTTAATTAAGAATTAAAGCTTATTTCTTCTTGTTATTGCAATTTATAAGATTACTATTATGTTTTTTGTCTGGTACATAATAAGTAATATTTCTTACCTGTGCATTTGAGCTCTGATCTCAGTTCGTCGGATGCCTTGTAGCAGTCCGGTACTCCATCGCATAATTTCGATAATTCATATAATTGTAATATTTGTGTTGATTCGTTTACTTGACAACCAAAGTAGCCGTCTTCTAAATTTAAGAAAAATACCTCTCGTTTTATGCCTAAACCTATTCCATACTGGCTTTGCGTCGCTACCTGTTAAATGGATTAAAATATTGGTAATATATGTGCAACATTTTTTACATGCACATATAAAAGTGCATAGTAAGTTAATACAATACAAAAAAATAAAAAAAACACAGAACACAAAATTAAACACAATTAAGTTGCATGAAATAATATTGAAAACACAATAAATTGAAAGAGTAATAACTTATTTGAGTCACAGTTACTAACCGTTGGTATCCTTTAAAATTACATAAAAATATGTTTCTGTACATGTACTCCGGCAATTGAAAACAGCTGAGATATTTTTTTAATCTCAGAAAATCAAAATTATATAAAGTTTTGAGATTTGTTTTATTACTTTTTTAGTCATAAGTCTTATAAGGATATATTAGACTATTGGATATGTTCATAAAAATGCTAAAAACAATTATTGTACTTACATGTGTCGCTAAGACTGTGAGCGTCCAAACCACGAGTGGCAAGTTGGTTATATGCATTGTCTCTGCAACAAAAAAAAACAAGAATTAGCCTTGAAGTTCATTAAAAAAAAGAAAACGATAACAATAAAAATCTTAACTATAATTTAATCTTTCACGTCTATAATATAATATGTACTATGCTATAATACCTTAAAATGAAGAAGTAATTTTTTGTTGTAATTGAACCGATTTTAATACTTATTTATCTACAAACTCTCACATACATTTATAATATTAGTAACTAGCTGTTACTAATATTATAAATGTAACGT